TCAGGAAATTCAAACAATAAATGCCGTTTTGATGCTCTTTGATGTGGCGTGACCGATCGCATTTAAATGCTTCAGTTCAAACGGCAGCGCGATCATCCCTTCCTCTTTACTAGGCTACTAGTTTTAATGTGAAATAAACATGAATGAACATCTCATGCCTCATGTAATCGCTCAATCAGTGTTTCACCTGCAGAAAGACGTCAATAAAACAGCTTGTAAACAAAACGTCACGTAGCATTTCATTTACTTCAGGAAGTCATCAGTGTCCACAGCTCGTTATTTCTCTATAAATTAAGTCTAGAGAAGAGCATTTCGCAAAATATTAAACTATATACTCATTATATTTTACTTTACCTGTTAGTGATGTCTTAATTATTTAATGTTTAAATAAGTCTGTTATGAAACAAGTTATGAGAGCCACTGTGTAAATTCATATATTTCAACAACAAATAGAATTTTTACAATTTAGAAGTTAATTTAAAAACTGCATTATGTGCAATTTACATGCTTGCATACATTTTTTTTTTTAAGTTGAGTGTTGCTTGTTATATTTAAAAATATTTAAAAAATACTATACTACCTTATAGTAGGCCTAATGTAAAAGGTATATATACATACATACATACATACATACATATATATTCATTCAATCCTTCATGTTTTATAAATGTACTTTTCATATAAAAGTATTTTGATATTTTATAAATTAATATTTAAATTATTATTTGCAAATAGTGACATCCATAAAGGTTAAAATAAGTAACACATATTCTTTTAGAATTCTTATTCTATATATAGTTCACTAAGGAAGGTTATAAGGCTGCTATTAAATGTTTGTTTATTGACAGATTCTTCAAATTTAATCTTTTAATAATTTTATTATTTTTATCATTATTATTATTAATGTATATATTATTATCATTGTGTATCACCCTTATGCATACAAACAAACAAATACAGACGTGTATTTTTTTATTTTATTTTTAGTTAATTAAATTTCTTTTTGTTCTATCTCTGTTATTGTAGCTCAGTTGACCGTGATAAGGACAGGAAGTGATGTGCTGGTTTGATGTTTTTGTATCAGAGATAATGAATCAAATAAGCCTCTGCTCTTCTTTTTTCTATTATTATATAATATTATATTATATAGAGATGCACCAAAATTAAAATTCTGGGCCGAAACCAAAATTTCTGGATGCACTTGGCCGAAAACCGAAACGGAAAATGCTTTTTAATAATTATTATATTATATTATACTATCTATCTATCTATCTACCTATCTACAGGTGCATCTCAATAAATTAGAATGTCGTGAAAAACTCAAATTGTGAAACTCGTGTATTAAATAAATTCAATGCACACAGACTGAAGTAGTTTAAGTCTTTGGTTCTTTTAATTGTGATGATTTTGGCTAACATTTAACAAAAACCCACCAATTCACTATCTCAACAAATTAGAATATGGTGACATGCCAATCAGCTAATCAACTCAAAACACCTGCAAAGGTTTCCTGAGCCTTCAAAATGGTCTCTCGGTTTGGTTCACTAGGCTACACAATCATGGGGAAGATTGCTGATCTGACAGTTGTCCAGAAGACAATCATTGACACCCTTCACAAGGAGGGTAAGCCACAAACATTCATTGCCAAAGAAGCTGGCTGTTCACAGAGTGCTGTATCCAAGCATGTTAAAAGAAAGTTGAGTGGAAGGAAAAAGTGTATTTTGAGTTGAATTACTGAAATAAATGAACTTTTCCACGACATTCTAATTTATTGAGATGCACCTGTATCTATCTATCTATCTATCTCTCTATCTCTCTCTCTCTATCTATCTATCTATCTATCTATCTATCTCTCTATCTCTATCTCTCTCTCTCTCTCTCTCTCTATATATATATATATATATATCCTGTAATATTATATAGTAACAAATTAATGATAATTAATAATTAACAATACATTTTTATTTTTTTTTATTCAATTTATTTTTTGGTCTCAGGGTGGAGGTGTGGCCAGAGCCGCAGGAGTCTCTGGGTATCAGCATAGTGGGCGGACGCACCGTTATAAAGAGGCTGAAGAACGGAGAGGAACTAAAGGGCATTTTCATCAAACAGGTGCTGCCAGACAGCCCATCTGGACACACGGGTGCCCTTAAAACAGGAGACAAGGTCTTACAGGTCTGAGAGCCACACACAGACACCTTCAGACACATTTGCTCTTAATATAACCGCTTTATCTGTTGACATTTATATTCTGGTCTTTTCTGCTTCCTAACCATTTTAAAGGGGCCATATTCTGTGTTTTGTAGCTTTTATTTATCCCTGAATCTGCTTAGAAAGGTTTTCTTGCACTAAAAATGGCTTTAATTTATTTCCAACTACTTTTGCTACTATACCTTATGTAAACAATGTGTAAATGACCTTTTTATGATGTGCACATGGTTGTGACATCATGGTCTCAATAACCTGTTTTTTTGCAAAATAAACAAGAAAATCCTGCAAGTCCCCTTTAAATCCCCTCATCTCTTTCTCCTCCCTCTATCCTCTCTTTTTTTTTTCTCCGTCCTTTGTAATAAATAGGTTTGTGGAGTGGATTTGCAGAATGCCAGCCATGAGGAGGCAGTACAGGCTATCAAAGCGGCACCCAGTCCCGTGGTCTTCATCGTGCAGAGCCTGTCCTCCACTCCACGGGTAAACCTGCCATTTCAAACTCCATTTAAAACGCCATCCTCTTCTCCTGCCTCTGTGCACCTCAGATATGACCCCCTCCCTTGTTCATGCTTGAGTGCTCTCATTTATGAAAATGGGGCCAATTAATTTCCAGTTCAACAATATTAAATCCACTCAGGGCTGGTAAATGACGCTGCACACTTGGGCCACTTCCTGACGCTGCTCTGCCATTAAAGGTCTAGCCGACTTTCGATTGCTTGTAGCCCCCAATATTTTTCCATAGCCCCTTTTACACGTATAGTCTTTACTGGTTAATTACCGTTAAGAGATCATGTGTGAACAGGACCTTTTCAAAAACACCGGTAAATTCGTTCTGACGCAGATGACGCATTTCCTCCATGCTGTTTACGGAAGTCAAAGAAATGTCTAAAGTCGTCTAATACGATGTCTCTGGGCCAAAAACAGCTGCATGAATGTGAACGTTTGACACAAAAGTGAAAACATCAACAAAAACACTGACCGCGTATACCCCTCCATGTTTACAAACACAATACCGGGAGGCGCAACCGTTTAGAGGTAATTTCCAGTTAATGATGTCACAGAATTTATTCACCGGTATTTTGAAATTGATGTGTGAATAGTGCTTTACTGGTAAAAAGACGGAACATCGTTGCCTGTGTGAACAGCACATTTTTTAATTTACTTGTAAAGTCGTTCCGGTAATTTTACAGCAATTTACTGGTGTTACTGTGTAAAAGGGGCCTCTATATTGTAGTATATGGTTCTTGCATCTTTTAACTCTCAGCCAAGTTTTGTTTTATGTGTGTCCTTGTCTTTGCATAAGGGAAAAAAGCTTAACAAAACACAAATAAATGTTGTAGTTGTGGCCACATACGCTCGCTGACACATTTAGCCACGCTGCTCTTGTAGGAGATGCAAATTGGAAATCATCCTGTGTTGTATTTTCATGCAGCTGTCATTTTCGTTTATTTCTGCTATTTGACTGTTAATAAAAATGTCAAAAAGATGCCCCAAAAATAATTGTAATAATAAATCATAAAAATGTGGTTCTATACATTTTAAAAGTATTAGTGATGTTTTTTATTGATAATAAAGGGAGCGTGCTTTGCGCACTTTCTAGGCTATAATCCATTCAGAATCTTTTTGAAACTTTTGTTTTTTGGACACATACACCCTGCAAAGTTTTAGGAATGACATCCACATATTTTTGCTGGATTCACTCTCGAAATAGCAGTGATTGACAGTGATAACCATAGCAATGGACGAGATAAAAATATATGTTAGGAGAGCACCTCAGTGATTTAATTCTGGAACCGCTCCTGGCCAGACTTCCACACACAGCGTGCATCCTGAGTGAGATCTAGTTCACGTATCAAAAGCATGTGTAAAGTTTATTGAGATCAGGACATATCATTCAGTAATGTCATTGTAATGAATGGTAGAAAGTTCAGGAATGAATGGTATGCCATTTAGTGCCACGACGTTTATTTTTTTCTTCACGTGTCTAGCCTTTGGTAACAACGATTCAAAACGGACACATATTTCTGCTATTTGACTGTTAATAAAAATGTCAAAAAGATGCCCCAAAAATAATTGTAATAATAAATCATAAAAATGTGGTTCTATACATTTTAAAAGTATTATTTTATATACGGTTTATTTAATATTATTATAATTTATATTATAATAACTTATAATATTTACATCAAATTCTATAAATATTAAAAATTACATGTATTTAATAATAGTAATTACTCAAATTACTGAAACGTTGTAAACTTTTCTAAATGGTTTAAATACTTTATCTAAATAGTAATGAATAGTATTATATAATAGAATTATATAAATGTATAAATGATACATGTGTGAGATCTAGTTCACGTATCAAAAGCATGTGTAAAGTTTATTGAGATCAGGACATATCATTCAGTAATGTCATTGTAATGAATGGTAGAAAGTTCAGGAATGAATGGTATGCCATTTAGTGCCACGACGTTTATTTTTTTCTTCACGTGTCTAGCCTTTGGTAACAACGATTCAAAACGGACACATTTCAAGTGACACGGGGAAAAGACAGAAAATTTCAGTGAACATCAGAACCACAACTGACACTTAAAACGGGAAGCATCGCCATTCAAATCAGCAGCAAGAGTCAACGCTAGTCCACAGTTTAGTAAATGTTGGCAACCTTTTTAAGCTATTCTTGACTGTGTTCAGGGTGTCCGCGGGGTCGTAAAAAGTATTAAAAGTTGATAAATCAATTTAGAGAAAATTAAGGCCCTTAAAAGTATTAAAAAGTCTTAAATGCCGCTCTTAAGGCTCCCAACTGGCTTTTTTATTTAGTATCACTCTGAGGCTTCTATTTTAGCCCAATTTAGCAATTGTGAATGGTTTGTGTGTTGGTAAGCAATTTTTTATTCAGTGTTTTCATAAAAGACTTATTTTTATGCTTTATTTTCGTTGCAAAAAAAATACACATACTATTATTTAACATTTTAATAAACCTTTAATAATAACACTTTAGTCTTTAGTGCAGGTTGGCATTCAGAAATATCAGATGCCTCAGCTTGGATGTGCTGATGCGATTTCTCCTCTCTGTGATTATTTGTCCTGTTTTTGAGAAGACTCTCTCTGAGGGGACCGATGTTGCAACAAATTGCAGTGTCTTCCTACCTTAACCAACGCGCTTGCATTTAAATCCGGATCCCCCGCCTCTCTCTGTCGCTCTGTGTGCCTGGCCTGTACCACTACACTCGCTATCTTCAGTGCTTGTGTCCCCATTCCTTCTTTCACATAATGGTATGATCCTAGTCTGTCCTCCCATGTGATTAGCCGCATGTGTATTTATTTATTTTTTTTACATTCTAATATTATATAGTATATAATTTTCGCGCATCAGGGCGCCGCTATCGATATGTGAATGAGCGCTCGCAGTCGCAGTTCACTTTCGATTTCGCGATCGCGAGCACACTGTGTAAAGGGAGCACACCTTACGATAAAAGATATTTGTCAATGAGCTCGGGATCTGTTTTTTTTACCTCTTATACACCGCAGTGTCCAACATCCGGCACGTGTACGTGCTCTGGCATAGTAGACATCAGTGTTGGGCAGTAACGCATTACTTAGTAACTGTAATTTGATTACTTTTTTAGTAACGGAGTAATTTAACAAGTTATAATTTTCAAAATAGTAATTAGAGTATAGTTACAAGCCGAGGTCTCTATACGTTACTGCAGCGTTACATTGCTGACAGAACGCAGTGTTTTATAATCTAGAGATTGTAAAAAAGGATGTAGCACACGCACTGTCGAGTCAAGTGCCAGTGGATTAGAGACCTGCTCCCGCGAGAGTGAGAAGAGTCCAACAGAGTGCGGCGCGGGACAAGATGGGCGAGTGCTGGTGAGGGTGGGTAGACACTCGTGTGAGTGCGGGATGCGGGAGAATAAAATGATTCACGGGACTCCCGCAAAGTAGAAATATCTAAACATAAAATATCTGAAACAAATAAATTGTTATTCATCTATTGCACAAAAGCAACATGAACTAATATAAATATAAACGATTAACAGGTGCAAG